AGGCAAGGCTCCCCACTTGAGCAGCACTGCAATGGCAAGAACAAAAGGGAGGGAAGAAACAATAAGTATTTCTGGGACGTGAAATGTTAGATTAATTTGTCATCTGCATGGGCAGGGCAAGTGCTGCATGGCTGCAGAAGCAGCAGCTCTCTGATGTAGGAGATCAAGTACAAAGAGGAGAAACAAAGCTTCTGTGGGAATAGGGAGGTTAGGTTAAAAAAAAAAAACAACACAAAAAGAATCCAACAAAAGGAAGGTGAGAGGTGTCAGAGAGAAGCCCTGAAGGAGAGGAAAGTTTCTTCCCTGGGTTAAGAAGCAATGCTGCAAAGGTGTGTGTTTTCTCATTGCTTTCACACTGCTCTGCCAGGATCTCATAGCACTATGCAAATACAGACTGCAATTGGCAATCCTGTTGTTCTTTCTTTAAGTACTGTATGAAGTATATTTAAGTGCTCTCTTCATTTCCATTAATGAGGACGCAGACAGTGGTGAGTTCAACAACTTCCTAGTTGTGTCAACCTCTATCCGCAGCTCCAAGGGGTCCCATTGCCACGTCCCAGCCTTGCCCTTCCAACACAAAACTTGTCCAACCCTCGCAGCAAAACAATCCCATGAGGATGATCCTTTCCCTTTCTCACTGAGCAAAAGATAAAGAAAATCCCAGCAAGTTTCACGGACATGCAAAATCCCAATGGCCCAAGCCCTCCAACTTCCATTTGGTGCCATCTTCTGGCATCCTCTCATCATGAAGATGGTTCTAATGCCTGCACAAGACCTTTAGGCAGAGAACATTCAATGGAAGGACATTTCCAATGGTGCACTGTTGGTTTTCCAATCTATATGCTATCATCTCTTTTGTGGTCTATTTCAGTTTTGCTTTTTAGGCTATGCAATGTCAACGTGCTCTTCGCAGTGAGGACATGCTGTGTCAGTAGTGGGAGTGCACCAACCTTTTCTAACAGTATTTTCTCTGGCTTTTTAGCAGGACAAACCTTGCAAAATGTTGGTGGGTTGGTTTGGTTTTTTGTTGTTGTTGTTGCAGAACAAGAGCATGCTTTCTAAGAAGTCAGTGGAAAACCCAACGCCAGCCTTGGTGGCTTCTTGGCCGATTTTTCCATCAGCAGGGCTACCCCAGCCAGATAAAAAGGATGATGTGTGACTTCCAGAAGCCTCTCACCTCCTCACAGACGGGTGTTGGTAAAGTGCTGCCTGATTTGTTTTTAAGGACAGAGCCAAAACCACTAATGAAGCTGGCATTCAAAAAATTGAATGAAGAAGTCGAAGCTGTAAGGAAAAAGAAAAAATTGCATTATGGTCCCTTTGGGCTTTTCTTTTTCTTTTCCTATTCTCCACTTTTGTTGTTGTTGCAATTTTTCTCATTTAATGTGCTTTTTTCAGGCTGGGTTTCATCTCTTTGCTTCTTTAAAACACTCTCAGTATTTGCACGTCTTTCCTGGCTGCCCTTTAAAAACTATTGTATTTCTCCCCACTCCATTCCCACCTTTGACCTCCATCATCTCTTTACCAGCACAGCACTCAAACTTGGTCATTTCTGAATTTCCCCTTACTAAACCCATATGGAAGAGAAATTCTGCTTTCCCATTTTGCTGATGGAGGTCTCTGCTTCCCACTTTCTGCATCATCATGCCATGGGCTTTTCCCTTCTTGTGCTTTCCCAGCAGCAGCTGGTCTGTCGGAGCTGGGGAACAGCTGCACCAAAAGGAGCTGGGAGACAAAAAGCACAAAGAAACGCCTGGTTTTGGTCTTGCATCTGCCATCATTGGTTGGCAACCCCATGGGGGGTTGGAACTAAATGATAAACTTTAAGGTCTCTTCCAATCTAGGCCATGTTGTGACCACAGCAACCTGTAATAGGGCAATGTGTTGAGTTTTTAATGCATTAAGTAAAATCTGACCGGGAGAGGAGCAGTAAGGCTGGGACTTGCAGGTGGGACTCCTGTTGGCAGTGTCTGGAGAAATTAGGCATAGTTCAGGGGAATTGATGCAAATCAAGTCAGCACACCACAGTGGCAGGTGAAGTTGGTGATAATTGCAATGGAATATGAAGTGGGGGAAAATCTTCCCTTAAGCTCCATCTTTTGGGTAAAGGACAATGGCGGGCGCTGTGGGGTCACCCCAGTGGAAAGCTCTGCTCCACCATACCACTCTCACTCTCCCTCCTCAAAGGAAGAGGGGACAACACAAACAAAAAAGGGCTCAGGATTGAAATAAGCCACCTGCAGAACAGCTGCAGCTTTGGGTGATCGGCTCTTAAAACCTTTGCTGATTTTCAAACTTCATAAAAAGACTCCTTGCTTGCTGTCAGCCTTTCCCTCCTCCCTGTACTTGCTGGGACTCGGTCATGATTTACTCAAGAGATCGCATGTGAGACAGTTTGGGCTGTGTTTTATTATCCCTTTGACGTGTGTTTTACACCTCTGGCTGCACAAGACACCAAGCACACATCTCACTGCTATTTGGTGGGACCCCTGCCATGCATCTGGGAACCATGACCAGCCCATTGGCAGCACAGTGTTTCCGCCTCATCAGGAGCACAGGATTTTTCAGGCTGTGTTTCAGCAGGACCTCTTTAATTCCATGTTGCAGTGTATTTCTAGATCTATCAGTTCACATTACCAATCTATTGAGCTGTAATATTGAGTAACCATAGCAACTGGTAAATCTTTTGGGGTAAAGCAAATGCAGTCTGCCCATACATAGACAATTTGGCTGTCGTCTTTTTTGTATGCATAGTCTGAGCTCACATGTCTCCTAGTACCATGGTCCCATTTCATTTCCAGGATTGGAACTTAAATCAACCTGGACATCAGATTTTAGATACTAGATGTTGACGGGGATGGGTATTTTTGCAGGAAGACCTCATTTCTGGGAGAGCCTCCTGCGCTGTCAGCAATCTCACCAGCTGCACTTGGGTATGAGCACTGCTGTTCTCCAGTTAATCCTTCTTCTGTAAAAAAATACACTCATTTTTGTTTCTTTTGTCCATATTCTACGATCACAATATGACACTGCTCAAGTTTCATTCGTTTCCTAAGTGCCTTGTGTAGGCAGCTGTCTCCTATACCAAAGGAGTTAAAAACTCTTGGCTCATAAAGCAGTATCACTTTGGCCTCTCATAGTGCTGTATACCATTACACCCAGCACAGCCAGCAGCCTCTGCTGTAAATATTTCCTTTACTTCAGAGCCACGTTTTTACTGGACTTTGCCTTTGAAAGAAAAAAAAAAAAAGAAGCAAAATGCTTTTATTGTGGTGGAGCAGCAGGACACCCTGCTGCCTTGTTGCCACTGAGGGGAAGCCTTGCATTGCTGAAAGGACAGGTTGCTGCTTGCTCAGGGAAGATCCCTTATACCAAAAGGACAGAGACACAGTCCGAGCACTTCCCATTCCCAGTTTCAGTTTCCACTCTGTTGTGGGATTTTACATTCATTCAGTTTCAATGGGAATGTTATTCTTCTTTCACATCTCTGGTCACTCCGATGACAGTGCTCCACTGTAATTCTCATTTGCAGTAATTTTCAGCCAGTCAGAGCATGGACAACCTCTCCAAGTCAGGTTTTTGCCATTTGTACCGACTGCAGAGAACCTGCTTTAGCAGGGGGTTGGACTAGGTGGTCTCCAGAGATCCCTCTCAACCCCTATGATTCCATAATTTCATGATTCTGTGATTCTCTAACCTCACATAGGACCCTCATGAGCACAGTTTGGGTGCCAGCACCCCAAAGCATTACCAATCTCAGGGATCCAGCTTGCTACGGGAATAGCACAGACTGATAGCAGGAGACACACAGAGCTGCCTGTGTTTGAGGCTGGAACTGTTGCTGAATTGGACCAATTTTCCCTGCCCTCGCTCTGCTCCAGCTCCCTTTTTGCTCCTCTCTGCAGCCACAGCAGCTGACCAACAGGCAAAGTTGTTCCATATGCATAAATGGGGAAGAAAAGCAACCAAAGAAGAGAAAAAAGTTGAATCATGGAATCGTAGACTCATAGAATTGTGCAATGGATTCCCATTCCTCTTCTGTGCTACCTATGAAGGACAAAAAGGAGAAACTTTCATTTGTGATCTATAAATTTCAGGTTGTGACAAGGGTCTCCATTTCCCCTTTGGACCTTGATTTGATATGATGGAGTTCATCCCATTTAACTGCAAGCACTGCTTCCCACTTATCCTGCAAAGCATCACCTTTACCTCTTTCCTATCTCTTTGATTGCTTCCCGTGTTTTTTCTTGCATTTCTAATCACTACTGGTGCATCTGTTATCCAGGTTAAAGCATCCGCCTCTGCAGGAGTCTCTGCTACAAGTAAGGACCTAATTAACTTCACAAGATTTCACTGAGTCCTGGAGCTGAGCAGACAGAAGAATCTTTGAGGGATAAGAAGAATATTTGGGACAATTCATAACACGAGTGAATGATATTCTTTGGGGGAAAAAAATATTACAGAACCACAGAATCACTCAGGTTGGAAAAGACCGCTATCACTGAGGCCAACCCCAGCCCACCCCCACCATGCCCACTGACCACATCCCTCAGTGCCTCATCCCCACAGCTCTTGAACGCCTCTGGGGATGGGGACTCCACCATTCCATTGCTTTGAGGTGCAACTAAATGGGATTTAGTGTTAAGTGATCCTTGGCAGGGATAGACAGGACAAAAAGCCAGAGCTTGCTGTGGGGGTGCGAGGTCTCCGGCGGTATCCATCATGCTGTAAGAGCACTGATCAGTGAGGAAGCTGCTGGTACAGCATCAGCACAGGGGAAGCATCCATGCCCAGGGGAAGGGGCATGGAAGCCAGCAGGAATCCGGTGTCGAGAGCTGTTGGAGATAAAAGAGTGAAGGAGACGGACTGACAGATCTGTCTCGCTGCGGCAATTCTTGTGCGCCTCATGGAGCTGCTCATGGGTTTAAAAGTAAGCACTTAAGTGCCTATTGGCTGCGCGAGGGCTTTAGTGCTCTTCAAACTAGTGAAGCAGATGATACTTCAAAGGCATTAAAAGTAGGTTAAGGAAAGCATTTCGCAGACTGAGTAGACATGTGAATAAAACTGACAGTCTTTAAGTGCAGATGAGTAAATAGAGGGAGTTCTCAGTGGGATCGGCTCTGTAGGGTTAGAGAACAGCTCTGTTTTATTCCCTGTTCAGTGCTTGGTCTCTCCAGTGTGACTGCCAAAAAAGGAGAAGCTATACCAACTCTGATAGGAGATAATGTGCCACATACATACACACCAAAACAATCAATCTGTATTTTATTTTAATTTTTACACCATAAAGTCAGCAACAAATAAATTTTTGGGGGGGAAGGAAGAAGAAAATACTCTTTTATTTTCAGTGTTAGCCAATTAGCCCAGTGCCCTGCCTGTGCTGGAAGGAGCTGCTTAGCCCTTACCTTTCAGCCCTCAGTCACCCAGAAACACCACCTCAGCTTCCGATTGAAGCCCACTCTGTGGGGCTCTGAAGATTTTTAAAAAGGCATTTTCAAGTATTTTGTACTTTCGTGATTAGTAACACTTGAGAGGACTAAAACTGAACAAGTGCCTCTCCCCACCCCCACGTTTTACCCTTTTGCTCAGATGAGATAAAGAAATGAGGTTACTTGATTTCCCTTTAGAGTTTATAATCAGCCACACTATTTTAATAAATTGCATTTAGTTCCACTTTCTGTTTCTGAAACACGAGTACAATGCAGCCGTGTTTTGGTTACAAGCTCCACAGGAAGATGTTCCAAACGTCAACAAATGCAATCGCAATCTTAGCGTTATTATTTTTCCTTTTAAACGTCAAGCAATATCTCTACCAATGTGAACTTTTGTAAATCTTTTTCAAAGCAATTTTGTTTTTGATTTGAAGCTGCCTAATATCAAGCATTAAGGATCAGCTTTTAAAAACTCACTGAGCAACAACCTGCTGCAGGAATCCATTGGCACTGAGTGCTACGCCTGGTAATAGATTTTTGCAAAGCCTGGTATTCCCTATGGTAGTAAATACAGAGTCTTGGCATCACTGATGCCAAATCCACGAGGTTCTGTGTCAGCATGTCTTCTAAAATGATTATACCTACACACAACAGGCAGTATTTCTTCTGCTGGGCTCAATGTTACAACCTCCTTTCTGCAAACAGCTGTGTCATTAACTTGTCCGGCGTCATGAGGAACGGCGTATTTACCCTAGTGAAGATAGGAATTAATAATAGTTACAATAATAACTTTAGTTAAGCAGAGAAATATAAACACGTTATTAATCATTAACAGAAATCAGCCCATTCATAACGCCTCAAAGCTCTCTCGGAGGAGGATTGTAGGAAACTGAGATTTCCTCTATATTTGAAATTGGGCGACTTGCTCTCTGTTAAACAAAAAAGTGATTGTTTAGGAAAAAATCTGTTGCTATTTTGCATGGCTGTCCCTCTTTGACACCATCTGTGGTCAGATTAAATGCTGAGATCTGAATCAACATCTCTGCCTTTAATCTCTTGTTGATATTTCTGTAGACTGAGAGGTAAAAAACAACGGCGGGGGCTGCCCACTTGTGTGTCTCAGTTATGCCAGCGCAGTCGTAATGAATTTCTTAAGTCAAATGTAAATATGACCCTGGAATGTGGAAGCATACATTTTTGGTCTCTGAGGTCTAATAAAAACACAAAAGCTTTCTGTGTGGTTCGACACAGCATTAGTAGTGCTTTGCGAGATACCCCCAGACCCTCTGCAGCTTCTGAAGCTGAAATTAAAAGCACTCTGAGTTTCCTGCGGAACATTAAGTGTTTTCCTTCTAATTGTTTATAAATTGCTCTGTGCTGTGCCTGTGCCTGGAACCAACGCCATAAAAAGCCACCGACAAAACCAGAGTGGTCTCTTTGCATCAAAAAACAGGAGAAATGCATGCGAGGGGCTTTCCTACCCACAGGCAATGACTCGATGTAGGAGACCCAGCAAAGTTACACACCGCATACTTTTGCCCTCGCACTGAGCATAAAATAGGTCACAGCAGAGAGACGCTGTGGCTTTAAGCATTGCCCAGCCTGAGCCGGATTATCATTAGGTTACGTAACTGCTGATGAGCTGCTTTTCATTAAGGCTTCCCCGAGCGGTGCTGGGAGCAGGCAGTGCCTCCAACCATCCCGGGAAGGATTTCCTCCCAGCGTGCTGCGAGCCCTGCAGTGTGCAGCCAGGCCAAGGTGCTTCCATCAACTGCATGGGCTTAGGAGGTGTCTGCACGTGCAACCACCAATTCACCTTCATGGGCTTGCGTGTTCATTTTGGCTGTACAACGGTGTTGTTGCAATGTTGTATAAATAAGGCGTATGGAAAAAGGGGTTAAATCAGTGTGTTAAAATGTCTAGCTCTTGGCATGGGGTTTTGTGTTAGCAAAGTGAATCCTCTGCTGAGAAAAAGCCAAAACTTTCACACCTTGTGGTGGTCTTAAAGACTGTCACACAGGAAATGATGGTACACTGTGGCAGCAACAGCGCAGTGCACCTGCAGAGGCCTTAGAAAAGAAGAGAAAAAGCTGTTTTCAGTCATACTGATAGGACAAGGGGAAATGGTTTCAAACTCAAAGAGGGGAGATTTAGATTGGATATAAGTAAGAAGTTTTTTTACAGTCAAGATACAGGTTGCCCAGAGATATGGTGGAAGTCCTGTCCCTGCAGACAGCCAAGGTCAGGCTTGATGGGGCTCTGAGCACTGATGGAGCTGTGGGTGTCCCTGTTCAGTGCAATCCATCCTCAAGTCTCACTTATTCCTCCACTGGAAGCAGCCAAGCAGTGCTGCTTCACTCCATGGAGAGGCCATCCCTGTGAGCACAGCTACACCTGTACTGCAATGACCTGCTTGTCTGGATGCCACCACTAAATGCCATTCCTGTACCCTTCTGCCATTTGTCCTTCTGCTGCTGCCACACCCAGCATTCTTAACCCTCAGTTAGACATTTCTGTGACATTTTTAACGGATAAGTAAGGTGAAGAGCTCCACATTCATGAAGGGCTCAGAGCGGAACAGAATCAAGCCCAAATTCAGAAGGCACGTGAAGCTCTAAGGAAGCATGCTCACAACAAGTGGATACAATACTATCATCAAAGAAATTACTTATTACAGCGCTGAATATGGCCAAGAAGCTTTAAAGGACTATTAATGTTACCTTCTTAATGATTATACACTGGCTACTTGTGGCTTAAAGAATCTCTTAGAATACAATCACAGAGGGTGGATAGTGATAGGACAAGGGGAATGGTTTTAAACTGAGACAGGGGAGGTTTAGGTTAGATCTTAGGAGGAACTTTTTCAGCCAGAGGGTGGTGAGGCACTGGAACAGGTTGCCCAAGGAGGTTGTGGATGCCCCATCCCTGCAGGCATTCAAGGCCAGGCTGGATGTGGCTCTGGGCAGCCTGGTCTGCTGGTTGGTGACCCTGCACATAGCAGGGGGTTGGAACTGGATGAGCACTGTGGTCCTTTTCAACCCAGGCCATTCTGTGATTCTATGATAGAATCATGAAAACTGTAAAAGACCTCTAAATCACCCAATCCAACCCCACCTTCCCATGCTCACTGCCCACATCCCTCAGTGCCACATCCCCGCAGTTCTGGAACACCCCTAGGGATGGTGACCCCACCACCTTCTTTGGCAGCTGTGCCACTGCATCACCACTCTTTTGGAGAAGAATTTTTTTCCTGATATCCAATGTGACAGAGCTGCTTCATAAATTGAACTACAACCTGAAAATGGCCTTTAGCCCAACTGAGTGATGCGCAAAACTGGACTGTTGGTGACAGCATGCAACAGGGACCAAGGCAACCAGAAAATCTTGATGCTGTTTAGGCTGGTGATCCCACAATTGCTCACTTGTTGCTTGACCTCCACTTAAGCCTCTTAAACACCCTTCGTAAATATAAAACAAAGATAATCATATCATCTTGTTTTACAAAGTGCTCAGGCGAGAAAGATCTCGCAACATTAAATTATTTGTCATTTGCAGTCAGCTGGAAATTAAAACTGCTCTCAGATAAAGTCTCACCCACCACAGCTTCAATTACCTGGTAGGGGGGGCCTTTGTTTTGGATTTAATTCCAGGCAGTTTTAAAATAATTATTTCATTTTACTGATGGATTTCATTTTTGCCATGTGTATTTGAATGAGACATTTAATCTTTTTCATAATACGTTTTGAAGTCTCATTCATTTAAATTGTCACAGCCTGACAGCACTGTAATGTACTTAAAAATGGCATTGTTTGTACCCGCATTCCATTTAAAAATTAACTTGCAGATTAAAGTAATAAAAATGGTTTTTTACTTCTCGGTGTTAATATCACCGAAAACTTTAAATGCCCCTCCTGCCTGAGATTAGCTCACAGCTATGTTCTCGTGAGGGATTCGTGGAAGGAAATATCCTAACATCAAGCCCTACGACTTTGTGTTAGCTGTGAAGGCTGAGCATTTTCTGCCTGAGTAAAGGCAAAGTGGGCACAGCCTGCAGAGGCAGTGCAGAGCTGGCAACTCGCAGAACTCGGGGACTTGCACAGCTTCCTCCCTCGCTGCTGTCACAAAGAGAGCAGGACCAGAAGGAATCTATTAGCACTTCCACTTCGATGTGTTGCAACAAAGGGTCATGCAGCAGCATGCAGCGGCACAGAACGTTGCCCCAGCCCCTACTAAGTATGCAATTAAAGGAAAATCAGAAGTGTTCCTTCGTTACCTCGCAGACAGTGTGAGTTCAGCAGCAGAGGATTTGTTCTGGGTGTATGATTGCAGGTCACTGCTCTTCTTTGCATTGTTTCTCTGCTGCTTTCTCACTTGTTTCAGTGCTTTTGTTCACGTACACGAGCCTGAAATCCTTTATAGATGAATGTAAACATATATATAAAGTTAATCAACAGTTTGCCTAGGTGAAGATGGGCAAAATATACACCATTTTATTGACAAATGCAGTTAACCATGCTGGAATATTAGCTCAGGAGAATCCTTCTTGATCCCCAAATGAGGGAAAACAACCAGCATGCCCAGCATCACCGTCCCCATGCCTTCCACCTGCCAGAGGGTTAACTCAGGCTCAATCTGCCCGTCCCAGAAATAAGGAGGCAGTTATGAAATACATCCGCGGGGCTTTCCTCTTTGGGAAGCAGAGAGGTAACTGCGTGGATCCCCCTCAAAGACGCAGGTTTCCAAGGAAGACAACATTCAGATGGTGTGGGTGGATGTGTGATCTCGTGTGTTCGGCTGGGCCTTTCAGGGCCGATTTGTTCTGCTGTAACAAATGCTCTCTCAAGTCCCCGAGGAATAAAGAGCCCCCACGGAAAAGAATGAGCCACCTGAAGCTCAGGCTTATTTTAACCGTTCAACCCATTGAGCTGTTTTACCTCGTGACACGTAAGGTGTTTGGGGATTTCACAGCTCCACAGAGACGATGAATAATGTAACAAGATACAGCCGGGATGCGATAAAACAGTTCATAGAGCAAGTACGGCTGCTCCACTTGCAGCAGCTTTCTGTGGAAATGGCAGAACACGAGGGTGAGGACAGCAAGCAGCGGTCACTCCGCAACCTTCTGCTGAATGTTTGGCTTTGGTAGCCAGCTGAGACAACCGCCAGAGGTTCTGGTGCCTCAGAGGAGAGGGATGTGGTGATCTGAGAGGTCTTTTCCAACCTTAACGATTCTGGGGAGGGTCTGGAGCATAAGTGTGATGGGGAGCGACTGAGGGAGCTGGGACGGGTCAGTCGTGAGCAGAGCTCAGGGGAGACCTCAGTGCTGCTACAGCTCCTGAAAGGAGGCTGTGGTGAGGTGGGGGTCAGCGTCTGCTCCTAAATAAGTGGTAGGATGAGAGGTGACGGCCGCAAGCTGCACCAGGAGAGGTTCAGGTCGGATATCAGGAGCAATTTCTTCTCAGAAAGAGCGGTGCTGCAGTGGCACAGCTGCACAGGGAGGTGGTGGGGTCACCGTCCCTGGAGGTGTTCAGCGCGGAGATGTGGCACCGACGGATGGGCACGGTGGGCTTGGGGTTGGCGATCTCAGAGCTCTTTTCCAACCTGCTCGATTCTACGAGCATTGCAATGTTGGGAAAACAAACCCGGTGGGTGACCTCTGGTGCCAACAAACGCTGCTGAACCAACCCCGTGCCTCCGCGAGGCCTCACTGCGGGGTGGGAAGGCGGGGAGCCGTTCGGCCGAGCGCCGTGCCACGACACACGGGTCCCCGCGGCAGCACCCGCGCCTCACTTCGCGCTGAGGTGACGGCAGGGCCGCGCTGCCCGGAGCTCCGGCACAGCCCCCCCGCGCCGCCAGGCCCGCCCCCCCGCTGCCAAGATGGCGCCCGCCGCCCCCTTCCCTCCCCCTCCCGCCGCCGCGGCCTCGCGCCGTGTGGGGGGGTGGAGTGGGGGGGACACGATGGCGGCCGGCGGCCCGCCCGGCTCCTCCGCCGCCCCACAGCCCGAGCACCGCCGCGCCGCAGCGGGAGGAGTAAGGGGGGAGGAGGGAAGATGGCGGCTGAGAGGAGGAGGAGGAGGAGGGTTGGGGTTAGGCCTCCTCCGACACCGCCCCCTCGTCCTCCGTCCCCGGCTCCGCCCCGTCCCGCCGGGAGGGATCGCGGCGAGCAGAGCCGGAGCCCCGCAGCCGCGCCGCGCCGCCCAGGCAGGGGGCCCCGGGTGCCCGGGAGCCCCGCAGCGGGAACCGGGGCCCCAGCAGCGCCCGCCGCCTCCTCCTCCTTCTCCTCCTCCTCCTCTTCTCATCGCTCATCGCTCGCGGCGGTCTCCCCCCGGGCCGCCCCGCCGCCCGCCTCCGGCCGGGGGAGTCGCTGTCGCCCGTTTGAACGCGGCGGCCCTGAGCCCGCGGAGCCGGGGCGGGGGGGGGGGGGAACGGAGCGGAGCGGAGCGGCTGTCAGCCGGGCGGCGGCAGGTGGGTGAGCGCACGGGGGAACGGGGAGGAGGGAAGGCGGGAGGTGGGGGTGTGTCGGGCCCCGGGGGCAGCCCCGGGCCCGCGGGGAGGCGCAGCTGTCACGGCGGGGGCGGGCACGGGGCGGCACGGGGCTGCCATGGCGGCGGGCGGAGCGAGGCGCCCCTCCGTGTGCGAGCCGCGACCCTTCCTCGGGGAGAGGGAGGGAGAACGGGGGGGTGGGGTGGGAGATCCGCGGGTCGGGCGCTGCGGGGCCTAAACAGCCCCCATCCCTTCTCCTTCTTTCTTTTAAAAATCGTATTTAAATGTTGAAAGTGGATGGGATAAAGTGAGGGAAAGCAGCGCTCCTTCCCATCCCCATCCCAATCCCCATCCCCATCCCAATCCCCATTCCCATTCCCATCCCCATCCTCCCCCCCCCACTTCTGCGCAGCCCCTCGGAAGCCCGAGGAAGATGGCTGAAGGCTGAGTGCGGGCCTGCCGCCCCCGGGGCTTGGTGGCACGGTGACACGGCGCTGGTGGCACGGTGACGGGGCGGTGGTGACACGGTGACAGCTCTTTGTTTGCACGCTGCACCCCCTCCCACCCTCCTCCCCCCCCACCCTCTCCCCGGTGACCCACCTCCAGCTGCAAGTTGAGCGCTGACAGTTGGAGGGGTTGGAAAAGAAGCCGCGTGCTTCCCGATGGCTTTTAGGGTTCTGCGGGTGAGAAACGGTGCTGGATGTTGGAGGAGACGTGGCCGTGCCCCAAGTTTTGGGTCCTGGCTGTGCTCCGTCTCTCTCCCACTCGTGCAATGAGTGACCCCGCAGCGCCGGTGCTGTGCGTACGAGGGGGGGGGATGGGGGGGAGGACGGGACTGCCCGCTGGCATGTGACATTTAGCGGTAGAAAATCTGTTGCGGAAAAGCTGCTTCCTTCCTTCCGACGTCGGCTGTTAGATGTGCCGAAATCCCTCTGTTTCCGAGGTGTGCTCTGACCTTTCGGTAGTAAGAAGTGGGTCACGGCGATGCGATGCTCCTGCGGTTGTCGTGCGCCCAGCAGAGCGCGGTTTGGAGGCAGAAAGGCGGTGATTCCAGTTGGGTTCTGCTTGTTCTTCCATTGGAAGTTCAATCAGCCGGTGGTAGGGATATGGATTTTCGCCTTCTGAAATATGGCACAGCCCAAATAAATAAAGAAATAAAAGAGTGACACAGCAAAGTGGATTGTCACTGGAAATTTGGGCTGGCGTGGGTGGTGCCTTCGTGTTCTACAGCCCGGCTCAGGGCTCAGCTCTTTGTGTTGCTGGTTGGGGCTAAAAAAAAAAATAAAAATATATGGTCCTGTTTAGCGTGGGCTGGCAGGATATACGTGTGCGTGTAGGAAATTTGCATGTGTGTGTGTGTGTATGTATGTTATAGGTGAATGAAAGAGTGATGTACCTGGCATATTCCATGCAAGGTGATAGAATCATAGCATGGCTCGCGTTGGAAGGGACCTTACAGCCCCCCAGCCCCAACCTCCATCATGAGCTGGGTGCTCATCTGTGGCCTTGTGCACCTCCAGGGATGGGGCACCCAACCTTCTCTGGGCTGATAAACTTACATGAAGAAGAAAGATGCTCTGTTGACTTCTGTAGAGATGTGCCATCCCACTGCAGGTCAGAGGCTGTGCTCTTCTGACTCCGTTACAATATACACGCTCTAAAGGTCAGCTTGCTCTTGTATAAGTGGAAGTAAAAAGTGTATCTTAGTATGGAACTGTGTAGTGGTGCATAGGTAGCTGTATACCCAGAACTTTTGCTCAGGGAAACATTGTTAAGCCACAAAAGGGAGAGTTAAAGCCACACGTGTGCTGGGCAGCCCAGGAAGTGGTGAAGCCCTTCAGCTCTGTGTTCATGAAACTGATTAAAGTTTAAGTTGCCACTTCAAGGGACAAACTGCTCTCAATGGTAGATAATAAACAGTAGTAACTCTGGCAGCACCCTACCTGGCTCACAGCCGACGGGCATGATGAAATGTGAAATCTCAACTTATTTGCTCAAGATGGGTATCTGCTGTTTGGAAGATGTTGCCAAACAATATGGCAGGCACAAATGCCCGCTTCCAAAACAAACAGGCATCCCAGGAGGGGAGCAGGGGGCTGGGGAGGCAGAAGGCCTTTGCATCTTACTCACTTTGATTGTCGTGCTCATGTTTTCCCCGAGCCTTGCCCTCTGATAATGCTAAGACACATGCTCACAATTGCGTGACTAATTCGTAAAATTAGTCATACACTTCCACTCGGGGTTTATTGGAGTCGTATCGCTGTCATTCTCACATTGTAAAAGTCCACGTTGGGGAACATGTGCCCTCTGTTGACTTTCCTGCGGTCTCTCGGCACGACTCTTGGGTGGGCTGCTTACAAATATTTGATGCCTTCGGGACGGTTAAGCTTAATTGTACAGGCATGTTTCCAACGAACTGATCTGCTGGAGATCAGCACCTCGTTGCATGCTGATCTGAGGGGGGTGATTTGCATGAGCTTGTGCAGGGATTGTCAGAAATGAAGGTGTGAGCGCTGCTGCTATAAATACCCTGTCCCCTGCATAAATAGTTTGCCAGCTGAAAAACAGTGTATTTTGTTTAAGGAAACTATTTATATTACAAGTTATTCTTGTTTTGCCTGGTTGACTGTCTTTCTTTGAAGCGTGGCTCTTATCTCTCTGATCAAAGAGGAGGAATTAAAACAAAATAGATTTTCAAGTTGGATTTTTCCTTTATAGACAGGATTTTCAGCAGGAATGGCATGGAGTAACAGGTAAATATTCTAACCAGGTATTCCTGAAAGGCCAATGTAGTGTGTGATATACCCAGCAGCATGTGGCCACTGCTTCTACGTACAAACTTTAATCGTTGGCAGATGCAAATAAGCAACTTTTAGTGCTTGTTATATGTTGTTTGTATTGCTGCAGCACCTGGCAGACCTGGTCCTGGTTTGCAGTGGGGTGGGATTAATGGAAAAACGAAGCAAAAGAGGGTTCTGCTTCTAAAAACTTACAGTTTAAACCAAAGGCAAGAGGTGGAGGAGCTGAACTGTGATGGGGCAGCAGCAGGGTAGCCAGAAGTCCCAGCAGATGGGCTGGGAAGTGTGAGTTGGGGCTGAAGTGGGATCCATTGGGACTGGGAGGGGATCCCTTGTGCCCAAAGTGGGCTGGGGCGTGTTCACTGGGGCCGAAATGGGTTGGGGGAGGAATCCCTTGGAGTCAAAGTGGACTGGGGAGGATTCAGATGAATGGCTGTGCTGAAGCTTGGAGGTGCAGCAGCATGCTGCAGGGCTTGTGCGAGTGTGAGAGCAGCCAGGAAGCTTTCACCTCTTCCCCCCCGTGCAGCAGGATCTGGAATAGTTTGTTTGCCTATAGCTGCAATAGTAAAAATGAAGGCTGGCTTGTAAACACTTCCAAAGTTTATGCACAGAGCCTTGCGTGTGAATCAGACCTTTGGAGAACAGGTTTGTACCGCTGCTGCAGCATCTCCTCGTAGAGGTGACCGTGTGAAATGCTGTGGCTACGGTGTGGGACAAAACTCAGAGCACTCAAGGGCTTCTGAGCCCTGGTCTGAGTGGAAGGGATGTGTCAGCACCACGCCATTTACCTGCACTCCTGTCATTTGCAAAGGGGAATCTGCTGAACTGGTTTGGAGGTTCTTGAAGCCTGAACTAATTTACCTGGCTGGGAATGTAGGTTAGAAACTAGGCTTTGCTTGGCTTTGGGCGAAAGCCAACGTGCTCTGCAGGGAAAATGCAGGCTGAATAACTTCTGTGCTGATAATCCTGCAATATTTGTCCTCCTCTTTCGTCTGCAAGGCAGGTGGGCTCTCATGTGCTCACCCAATTGACTGGGAAGCAACTCCAGCACGTCTCGGTGCAGGGAGCAGCAGGACCTTCCCCTCAGGTGCCCTTGGGTGAGTGTGGGGAGGTGCTTTGGGGAAGGGACGTGGCAGTGAGCATCCTCATCTGGAGTCAGATCCTCACCCCGACACGGTCACACTGCCTGAACGACGTGGATTTGTGCACCAGCATCTGTAAATCTGCACAGATATTCTTAAATCTGTTTAAACCTGGTTTATTAGGCTCTGTAAGCTGTCCTGGCAGTCAGGTTTAAACCAATGTGTCCATGCAGAGATTTGCCTTGATTTAATGGAGCAAGCTGGAGTTGCAGGAAGGTGATCCAGGAAATGAAAGCAGTTTGCTGGCTTGCCTCAGTGAACTCTCCGGTATCCATATTTTGCTCTGAAGATCCATAAATTGTCTGCTTACAGCTGACAAGTGGAAGGGTTCTTGGATGTGACTGCACTTTTCTAGAGAGGAAAAAAAAATATCCTTATGCACCAGGTTGTGTTTTAAACAAGTGTCCCGGTCAGGGCTGATCCTGCAGCTGGCTTGGGAACACAAATCGCTGCAATGTCTGTGCTCAGCTATTTATGTGTATTTTGTGCTTATGTGGATTTATATGGCGTGGAATATTCTATGAAATGAGCTGAGACTTGGGTTTCTCTGGATTCATTTTTTTCTCCCCTTATTTTAGCTTGATGTCTGAAATTCCAAGGGTCCCTTTATGAATTTTCAGGACGAAAAGACTCCAAAAAATAAAGCAGTGTTGCAGGTAGAGAAAGAAGTAGGCTTGTTTCTTGTATTCCTGTGATGCAGGTATGGGCGAGGGGCTGTTTAAAAGCCAAACAAATCAACAGCTTGCTTACATATGTGAAGTTCAGCTCTTGATTGTGAATAGAAAGGTACGTGTGCAGTCCCAGCCCTGCCTTGATTTGAAATGGTCTGAGAGTGGGTGAGTGCTGGTAATGTCACTTGCCTGACATCTGTGTTGTCTCCTGCATGCTGTTTTTGGGAAGTAAGGGCCTGGAGAGGGCAAGGAGCTGCCAGCCCACAGCAAAGCAGTGCCCCACCTCAAGGTCTCACAGTGCTGAGCTGTGTTTCAATACAAAAATAAGAGGGGACTGTAATTTTTCCACTAAAACTCTGCATTGGAGGCTTAAGAATGAAAGCTGAGCATCTTTCTCTATCTTATTTTCCCCTTTCTGTTAACATAGCTGGGCTGAATTAAAAAAAAATAGAGAAAAGCCCTGAACTTTTCAGACCTTTAAATCAATTAAATTCATGCGTAGAGCGCACGAGGAATCTCACGGCTCGGAATTCTTCTCTTTCTTCTCCATTCTTGTGAGCTCTGTGCTCACTGCTGCCTGCCCTCTCCTCCCCCCAGAGCCCGCGCTCCGCTCTCCATCTCAGACTTTACATCCAGTTTCATCAACAGACTTCAAAGGTCTCGAAGAAGTTGAGAGATGAGCGTATTACTGGAAGTGCCGCGCAGCGTTTGGCTTTGAAGTTCTTTTAAAAGGAGGAAGAAAAAAAAAAAAAAAAAAAAAAAAGAGGTCTGACTTAACCTGAAAAGGATTTTGACACGTGCTTGTGAGCGGTTATTTTAAATCGTGCTGGAAAAATTGTGCCTGAAAATAAACAACTCAGCAGAGCTCGACCTGTTGTGGGCTGAGCTGGGAGGCCTTGGGGCTGCTGGTCTCTTGGGGGGGTGAGCTGAGATTTGCAGCAGAGCTTTGCAGGATGAGTCCCCGAGGCTGCCTCTGTGTTCTGAGTTGTGCTCAGCAAAGGGCTGAAGCCCAGACACGTTTCTTGTGATGGTGGGAGATGATGTAGTAGGATTTTAGAGTGCTCTGGAAATAGAATGGCCTGGGTTGGGAGGGATCTCAAGGATCATGAAGCTCCAACCCCCCACCACATGCAGGGCCACCAACCTCCACATTTAATACCAGCCCAGGCTGCCCAGGGCCCCATCCAACCTGGCCTCGAACCAGGGATGGACGGGGCATCCACAGCCTCTCTGGGCAGCTGTTCCAGCACCTCACCACTCTCTCTGTAAAGAACTTCCCCCTGACACCCAACCTAAATCTTCCTCTCTTCTTAAAGCCATTTCCCCTTGTTCTGCTGCTATCTGCCCTTTCAAAGAGTTGAACCCAGTAGGTTGTGCTGCATCCTTGTATGACTTGCATGTTCAAGCAGTGAGAAGCTGTGTGCATAATGCTGCAAAGTGCCAAACTGGAGTGTTTCAGAGCTCAACTTACTGCAAAGTTGAGCACCAAGTCCCAATGTGCACTGGAGTGTAATCAGTGTGAAGCCTCATTTTCTGTGGTATGAAGAGTTAGACTTTCCTGGAATGGATTTGGTGTGTGAAATCTCTCCAAATGTCATTTGAAGAACGCTGGTGTATGGAAGAAGTGAAGGATCAGGTGAAGCACCGTGTTCTATGACTCACTGGTTAGGAATAAGGACTGGAACTCGCTTGGCAGCAAGCAGCTCCTCTCTTTTAAATTAAGGTTATGAGAATCCAGCATTTTAGAGCACACTTTTATTTTGTTTATATTGTTTGCACGCCTTCTTTCCCAATCAGTGCCTTTCCCACCCTAGTGTCCACGCGTTGTTTTTTTCACAGAGGTCATTTTTAAGTGTTCTCTGTAAAAAGGTGAATGTTGTGTGGATGCCCCATCCCTGCAGGCATTCAAGGCCAGCCTGGATGTGGCTGTGGGCAGCCTGGTCTGCTGGTTGGTGACCTGCACATAGCAGGGGGTTGGAACCAGATGATCATTGTGGTCCTTTTCCAGGCCATTCCTATGATTCTGTGATATGATTCTGTGAACCTTCCCTGGGGTGTGCAACTGCATTCTCCATATTTTGGTGTAATCAGAATGTGTTCTGCGTGGACGTCCCACGAGCACAGCGGGATCCCAGCACCGCTGACAGCTGATGAGTAGTTACGTCCTTAACCTTTAAAGCAGTTTACCCAAACTTGACAGCGTTGGCATCAAGTTCTGTTTTTTGAAGATGCAGTGACGATAATCCCTTTGAAGGCCCAAAGTAAATAAAAGAAAAGGTTTTAATGAATTCAGAAATGTCACTGAAAATGGCGCTTGGCTTGATTTTACGCTTTTGTTGTTGTTGGAAGGAGAAACAATATTGTATATACAAAGCTTGCTGTATGGAAAAAAACTATGGGAAGAAGGTGATTTGCTTAGTTTAATTTTCATATTCAGTAAAAACAAAGGAACTCCTTAAATTGTATTAATTAGATCTGTCATGTGGCACGATGTGATGATTTCATATGGTTCTCTGGTTCTTCTGTGGATGAAGTATGTTTAAACAAGTAATACAGCAAAAAAAAAAAAAAAAACACAAACCAACCTACAAAACAAAGAACCCAATTTGCTCTTGCAGACTAGATCCCAAACCTGGCAAGTGTCATTAAATCAAAAAACCATCTAGTTTGTAACGCTGCACACTCTAAAGTTAGGAAAAACAGATGCAGCTGTAATTACAATTTTGTAGCCACACGATATTTTTCCATAGATGCTCCTCACTGTATGGGTTGGACTGGCAAAGTGGAACGGATTAAGGTTGCACAGATGAGTATAAATCCCTGACTCTATAATTTTTAGTGCTTGATTTTGCAACCTGCTTAATTTTCTTCTAATGTTTTTAGATGATAAGCTGCTTTACGCTGTTAATTTCTGATACGAGCATCGCATGTGCATTGGCTACATTTGTAATGCCCCAGCAAGACAAAAATACACGATCCCTTTTTTTACTCCCATTTCACAGGTGAATAAAACAGAACAGCAGACATTGAATGATTTGCCCAAGGAGCAGGGTGTTTGTGAGAGGTAAATGACACTTGACAGGTTGTTCTCAAGTACCCAGAACGGTCAGCTACTCTGCTTGTAGATGTGAATTTATGAAATTGGGTGCAACTTTCCCAGAGCGTGCCAGCAGCCCTCAGGCCTGGCTCCAGCACTCCTGCTGACAGGTCTGGTGGCCCTTGCTCCTTGCAGCAGGGATTCCCAAACTGTGGTGTGAGTGTGCTGGTTGGTGGTACGTGGCCTCTTCTCTGGGATAACAGTGATAGGACCAGAGGTGATGGCCTCAAGTTGTGCCAGGGGAGGTTCAGGTTGGATATTAGGAAAGATTTCTTCTCATAAAGAGCAGTGATGCAGTGGCACAGGGAGGTGGTGGGGTCACCAAACCTGGAGGTGTTCCAGAAGTGTGGGGATGTGGCAGAACTGTGGGGATCTGAGCGGTGGGCAACACTGGTGGTAGGTGGGTGGCTGGACTTGGTGATCTAAAAAGTCCAACTTTAATCATTCTATGATTCTATGAAAATGGGGCATTTGGTGATGTGAAGGTGTTAAATCCAGAGGCAAAGTAGGAGTGTGAAAGTATTATAGGACCCTTGGTGTAGGTGGGCTCCCATTATAGAGTTGTAACATCGGTGTTTGTGGAGATGGGATGTGTGTTCCTGAGGTGGGGTTGGGAAAGCACCAGGGTTCTTGTTTTGAGGTGTGGAATCTCAAAATCCTTGGGTGATTTGATTTGGAAGGGACCCTAAATTCCACCCAACCCTGTGCCCAAAGCCCTGTATAACTTGGCTTTGGGAACTGCCAAGGATGGGGCACCCACACTTCTCTGGTCAGCAGTGCCAGCACTTCCCTGCCCTCATTGCAAGCAATTTCTTCCTATCATCTAACCTAAACCCACCTTCTTTTAATTTAAAGCCATCATTCTATCACCACACCCCCTGACAAAGAGTCCGTGTTGGCCACATAAGGCTGCAGTGTGGTCTCCCCATAGCCTTCAGTCTGAACATCACATCCCTCAGCCTATCCCTAACCTCTGATCATCCCCATGGCCTCCTGCTCCAACAGATCCACATCCTTCTTGTGTTGGGGCCCCAGAGCTGAACACCCCCTCGGGTGGGGAGCAAGATGGCTGAATCTGGCAGGGGAGGCCAAATGTGTGTGTGTGTGTACTGCTGAAAAAAAGCAGAAGCAAACTGCAGCTGCTGGCCTCCCCAACCCATCCACTTTCATTTCCAAATTTCGAGCGGCCCTGCTGGTCCCTGTGCTTGTTGACTCACTGGTAGGTGTGCGTGGTGCTACGTGCGAGCAGAGCCGGATTCCTGCCTTCGGACTCTTGCCACAGAATGTGTGATTACAGAGATACCACGGGCTTCTTGAAAACAGCATTAAATAACTCCTGAAGGCTTTTTAAGGAGGTATTTTAAAAACAAGAAGCGTGCTTGGACTCTTGGATTTCCTTTGGATGCTGGAAAATACCTTTGCCGGGTAATTTATACGGTCCGTGTGCAACTGGCAGGCTGGAAATAAACTTTCTGGGGTTTGTAAAAACAGTTTAAACAAATCTGCTTAAACAAGATTGAAGTTTCATTGCAGAGATTTGGAGAGCAAGGGGAAAACGCACAGCACAGCCATCAAAAATTAAAACCACCAAAAAAACAAAGCAATACTTGCCTGGAAGTATTTTCCTTCTGTGGTGCCCATTGGTTTGCTGCCCAGAGAAACTGATACTAAAAGTGCTGGAGGGTGCTGTAGTTGGGTGTCTGGCAGCATGGCCAGCATCACTGCACCGCTACATCTGCTCCTTGAGTTGTCTTGCTGCAAATTTGGGTTCCTTTGAGGACTCCTGCTTGCTGAAACCAAGCCCAGGGGCTGCCAGGGCTTCTGCAGAGTGTAAACCATGGGGTAGGAGGGGATTGCCATGTGGCAGCTTGGCACAGGCTTGTCCAACTTGGAGTTTGGAGCTCTGGCATTTGACTCTGCGTTCAGCTTTTGGGTTAAGTCTTCTAATCCAGTGCAGCTAGATGACTTCAATTTGTTTGCAAAGATATTCTTTCTGATGGGCCTCCCAGAGTGTGAGGCATGGGAAACCGCTGCTACTTGAAGACAGAGGAGCTGAGTTTGCTTCAAGCTGTTCAAATGCCGTCAGTTCGGAGATAAGCGCGTATTTTACATCCTGATCAGTGAGTTATAATGAGATTTAGAGCACTAAATGAGTTCTCAGCTAACCCACAGAATGATGCATGTGGCTCAGCACAGAGCTATTGTTCTCATCAGCCCTCGCTGGTGAAATAACACAGAGAGTTGTGATACGCTGCAGCCTGGATTTAATCAGCAAGTAGCTTCCACCTTCAGGAGATGAGTTAAGTAGATAGAAAGCATTTCTCAACGTTTGCAAAAATTTCTGCGTAAGGAAAGTAGTCCCAGCCATTCCCAGCAATGAAAAAAGGCTATCTGAAGCTTCAGCCACGTGAGCAGGCTGTAGGATTAAGTGTTCTCCGTTGTGACGGGTAGAAGTCGCGTCTCCCAAGTGCTGTTCTGTTTCTCCATTACTAGGAGATAAGGACCTGCACAGGGGAGGGTTGTGCTGGCCAGCAGAGGCATGCAGGACAGGTCCTGTGGGAAGAAGGTGGTCTGTACAGAAACACCACTGGGAGGCCAGTTGTTGGCTGCTGCGATGGAAACCTCTACTGTTTGGATTCCAACCCAAATGTGCTTGCAGTCAAGGCTTTGAATTCTTCACTGTATTTTAGCAGAGGTTCCTGGGACGGCCCAGGTGTTCTTCGGCTCTCAGGCTGCGTTCCACTGGTTCCTGACCTTCTTACAAGTAGGTCTTGAGGGCAATATGTGGTGGAGGTGGGATGAAACAGAACTGCAGCTAGGGGAGGCACAGTGATGCTTTCCAAGGGGGTAGATCACTTTTAGTAGAAAGGCCTGGAATTAGTATGGCAAAGACTGCTTGTCAGCCTCTGCTCTTCCTACCCCACCTGTTCCACAGCAGATTGTCAGCATTGGAGATGGTCTTTTTCCTCCTCTGTATTGTGTTTCCAGAAATGGCTTCTTCCCCTCCCACCCCCCCAGCACTGAAAACCAGCTTTGTTTATTCCAGC